CTGGGGAGTGACTTCACTTACCTGTCAGCTCATGCCTCGCACAACGCTCCCTCTCTGGGAATGCTCAGTTTGTGGGCAGGCATTCATATTCATAGCCAAGGAGATTTTGTGGTCGACATACTTTTGATTTATGCTCAAATGGAATCATCTCTCGGCTTAATATACTCAGTGACTGGGTTGTTTTAATGCCCCATAGCATATGTTTGTCTTTACTCTAGAAGTTGACGTTTGTGGGAATAATTATCCAATGAATCGCCTATGTTTTTTAGAAGTTCAAGAAAATCACTTTTCTCATATCTGCATTATTTTTTTTAGGAAATGCGATATAACTTCTTAATTTCAAGCATTTGTATTTATTTTCAACTGCTTTTTCCACTTCATTTGGAATGCAAGTCAATTTTTAAACTATCTTTTCACCCTATTTAGATCAGATATGTCCAGCTTTGTTGCCATTTCGGATCATAATTTCTCCCATATAAGAACTCTTGGCCTTTCTGTCATCTAGAAAGTTTTGTAATGACAAACGAAGGTGATAATCCCTTGGCGCCAGTTGCGATTTCATTAAAAACTGTCCTGGTACTGCCTTTTTCCATTGGCCAATTCTGATCGCATCTTCTTCAGTAGAGAGTAGAGTAGAGATCCGAATTCAGTGTTTAACTATTTGGAATCAGTTAATGGTAGCAGCTTCCTTTCCCATCAAATTAGGTTAACTGCATTCTTTTTACATCCGCAGTCGGTAGCATCCAAAGGATCTAAAAAATTAAATAAATTTCATAAGTTCAAGGTTCTGTCTGGTATTTTGACGCAAGTGATTTTAAATTGAAAATCTTTTCTGAACTAGTACATTGCGTGTCTCAATAAATTATCAGTGGATAAAAGCAGCAGAATAAAGGCTTTGTTCATTTATTAATTTTTCAACAATTATTATTTGAGTGCGTATTACAAATAACTTTACAGCTAATATCAAATTAAAACATGTAAAATGCAGATTAAACTACAGTGAAAACTCTCTTGGCCGGACACTCACGGTCGGCCAATTTTTGTCCGCCCAAGGGGAGTGTCCGCTTAAGGGGATACTTAAATACTTTAAACGCCGATCGAATGTTTTTTAAAAAAAGTGTCCGCCGGAGAGAGTGTCCGGATAAAAGAGATGTCCATTAAGGGAGTTTACACTGTAAACTTGAAAACGATAAATTTTGTTTACCACTTGAAATGAGAATTTTAGTTGTATCTTTTTTCAAGCTCCGCCCTTAATGTGACTTTTATTAAAGGGTACCGCTTTTACGTATATAATTTGTATTATAAGGCAAGTAGCTCCCTAAACGTCTTCGCTGATGACTGTTGCAAGTTTATGGCCACGAAGAAACTATCTTGCCATCTAGAAACATGAGAAAGATTTCAGTTTGACTTTCCTATACTTTTGTGTGCGTATTTCCTATTCTAGTCTTAGTCTTAGTCCTATTCTGCAATATAAACTATTTCCGGGCATTAACTCTTTTGTAATTGAATTGCCAAATAGTGACATCTCTATAACAAATAGTCGCGCTTCAAAACTTTGTGGGAGAACAAGCAGAAACAGCTTTGTTTGTTTCTATTTAATTCTTTTAGGGCTCACATACTACTTGTAGATTGAAAAATGTTTGATTATTTCGGCCATAATTCATAGAATTAATTTCGAGCGACTTATCAATCCACCCTGGACCGTACATCTGTACATACTATAAATCAAAACTAAGTAAAGTTCAATAAACTGCTTGAGCACAAGAGGCGACCCAAAACGCCTGTCGGAGCCAAGCCGACCAGCAAAAAGCCAGAGCCAGAGTCAGAGTCAGAGCCAGGAAACAAGCCAGCAAGCGGACTGGTCCCGACTGGCCGGCCAGTAGTGGTCGGCGGTGGAGGCCCGATGCTGGGCACCGCATACTTTGCCTTCGATACACTTAATTTTGACAGATTACATCTCATTATGTACACCTCGCGGCCAGACAATGCAGTGGCAGTGGCAGTGGCAGAGCAGGGAACGGGTTAACTGGGAAGGAACAGTTTGACAGGCACTGGGCTTGTAGGGCCAGAGAGTGCGTTGCGAGTGCCAAGATTGATGGCCAGATATTAGCTTTGCATAATAATTTTGGTTGCCTTTTTTTAATATGTAGTTTTTTTTCTGTTTTTTTTTTTTGTTTTTTTTTTTTTTGGAGCAACAACACTGACGTTGATGCTGAAGCTGATGCGGAGCTGAAGCAAAAGTTGACGACGGCGGCCATTGAATTATGGGCACTTAAAATTAATTCAAGTTTGTACTTTTGAGCGTTACGATAACGATAGGTGCTGTGGGCGAGGGAGGAGGGGGGCTGGGGGGCCTGGGGGAGGAGTGCCGTAAAAATAGAGTGAAATTATTTGGCATGCAGGCGTCGCACAATAAAATACGCAACTTTTCACTTTGTTTATTGCAAGTTGAATTGAAGTTCATTTATAAGGCAATTTAAAATCAATTTACGTGTTGCATGTGCCGTTAATTTATCAAGTAGTCGAGCAGGCCTTAGCAGCCACTCACCCAATCGCAATGTGCAACTCACGACCAGGCGAGTTTAAAACAATTCCCAGCCCCACACAACACACAACACACTCCACACACTCTACACTCCACACAATGTACAGCAACGAGCGACGGACGCTGCAACAGTTTTCAACAGACTCATCATAGGCAATTAATTAAAAATTGAGCACCAGAACAGGACCAGCACCGAACTGGAGCTCGATTTCGAACTCGGACCCGTACCCGAACCGTTGCAAGTGCCGTTTGCCGTTGCCGCCTGCCGCATGCCGCTGCCACAGTCGGCTCCACAAGCAGTGGCAGTGGCAGGGCGTGCTTCCTATATACTACGAGTCTGTAAGTATTATTATTATTTTATTTTATTATTATTTTTTCATTGATACAAATGTCGGCACTCGATGTGTGTGTGCGTGTGTGTATCTGTGTGTGTGTGCAACTTGTTGCCTCAACAGCTACAGCCACGACCATTATTTTTATTGCCTGTGCCGCCAATGCCGCCGCCTGGCTAATAAGCACAAATTTATCAGCCGAATACGTGCGTGCGGCTTAAGTTCGAGGTGTTGAAACGCCGCACGTCCCAGGCGCGGCTGCTGAGCGAGCAAATCACTCCACACACCCAACCACACACCAGACCCTACCTCCCATTTCCCATTTCCCATCTCCATGCATTTTCCACACGCCTGTTTGGGGGCGGAACGTGAAAAGCATGCCACTCTGCGCGCATACAACTATAATTTATTACAACAAATACAAACTAGAAAGCATGATGGAAGTTAAGCCTTCTATGAATATCAATTCTAGATTTGGACCAATTTCTGTTTATTAATCACTGGGCGTACGACTTTTATTAAAAGCAAAACTTTCCTCACTGTGTTTGCAAACTAAGGCTGAATGAGAATTTCATAAAAAAGGTGCTGGGGATCTATTTGTTTTCAGTCTTATATTTTAGAAGCGTCTACGAATTAAATTTTTTATTATTCACCAATTTACAGGAAAGGAAGTTTACTTTATCGAAGAAGAGTTCTACCAACGAATGGCAAATAGACACAGACTGTAACAATACGTAAGCGTCCTAAGAGGTAGGACTTATTCATCGCCATTATACAAGTCTTATAGCAATGTTTTCAAAAACGGCGCCAAATTACAAATATTGTCAGTTAACCCAACTTCTGGGAAAGCTTCATTCTAAGAGCAAGTGTCCATATTATAATATTTAGTTTTAGCCTGGAAAAATATTTTATAATGTAAGAAAATATTTCATTTTCATTGCACATTCTTTGCAGTGTTTCTATTCCTAAAAAAAACTATAGAAATTGGATCTTAATCAAACGGAAGATTTTACAGTAAAAACCAGGAAAAGCCATGTTATCAATCACTCAAAATTTTAGTTAAAATATGTGACTTTTTAAATTTAAAAGCATCGTTATCTGAGTGACATATTTTGTAAATAAATCGTTTTCAATAGCCCCAAGGAGCAGATAAATCAAAGAACACAATTTGATTTGAAGCTTCTAATTCCTAATTACGGCTTCATTACTTATGATGTTCAAATTGTTCAAAACTTCGGTCAAGCCGACAACAAAAAATATTATAAGGCCCTCCTTACAAGTCTGCCTGAAAATATGTATCCCAATCAGCGCAGTAGAACTATAGTGGGTAGAGCTATCGTTGTATACGGAACTATCTGCTATAATCGCAAAACACTGTCGCAGAGAAATTTGCGTTCATTATATTTATACCCTGTACCCAAAGGGTACAAGGGTATATTAGTTTTGTGCGAGTGCACATGGAACACACAGAAGGAGGCTTGGTAGACCCCACAAAGTATATATATTCTTGATCAGCATGACAAGCCGAGTCGATATAGCCATGTCCGTCTGTCCGTCTGTCCGTCTGTCTGTCCGTCTGTCTGTCCGTCTGTCTGTCCGTCTGTCTGTCCGTCTGTCTGTCTGTATGAACGCAAGGATCTCCGAAAGTATAAGAGCTAGAATAACCAAACTTGGTATACAGATTCTCCTGAGACCGAGAAAGGACGAGTTTGTTAATTTTTTCTGATCCACCCCCCCACTCCCCCCCTATTAACGATTTTCTATAACTCCCGTAATTCTTAGAATTTTGAAATAAAATTTGGTAGTCACATTTGGTTAGTAATTATATATCCATATACCAAGTTTCATTATGATAGAATGATCGGAAAGAAAGTTATAGCCATATAACCAGGCCCAATGCAAACATACATACATATGTGCAAGTACACAAACACGCATAAGGCGCGATTCTGATGGAAATGTAAATGTATGTATGCATGCATGGAATATTTTATATTTAATTAGTTAATATTTAGTTAATTAATTAAATTAATTTAGTTAATTAATTAAATTAAATTAATTAATTAATTTAATTACTTTTTTGTGGGGTGGTACAGGGTATTTAAGAGTTGAGCCTGCTCGACTTTAGCATTCCTTTCTTGTTTTTAATAAATAATAATACAATTAGTGTTCTTAGAACTAGCACGAATCATTCTAGCCTATGAATGAGGACGGTGGACTGTGTTTCGAATGCTTGACAACATGAATATTACGGATTTGATGGAACTATTGGAAAAATGTATCACATGAGATACCCTGCAGGTATTGTCTTGGTTAGTCTAGCTAAAGGTCTACGAGTCATTTGATATGTAACTGCTGGGGAGGCGATCTTCATAGACAATAGACCAAGGTCCAGAAGAGGGCGTTGAATACGATGAAGGCGAGTGGGAAGACAAATCGCATTTTGCGATCGATCCACAGGGATACCTCCTTGGGAGTCATCGTGGCGAAGGTTTGATTGGACCGCGGCGGTGTCTGTGTCAGCTGCATCGTCGAACCACCGTCAGTGGTTGCATTGTCGTTCAGGCTGAGAGATGAGTTCCCACGACTCAGGCCATCTGCTATGATGATGGGCGTCTCAATGGTGATGACTGTATTGTTGCTTCCGCCATTAGTGGCGCTTTTGTCCAGGCTGCACGAACTGAGACTACTCTGGCTGCGATTGAAACTCCGCTGCTTGGCCCGCTTCAGATTGGGCACAAAGGTGGACTTCACGATGTACTTGGTGGTGCGCTTCTTCAGTTCCAGGTTGTTGTTGCGACGCCAGATCGTGTTGACGAAGGCAAACTCGACCAGGCTGCCAAATATGAAGAAGGTGCAGACCAGGAACCACACCTCCGACATGGTGATGTAGCTGACCTTGGACAGATTCTTCTCCTGCGACTGCGACAGTGTGATGAAGGAGAGCAGTGTGGTGCAGCCCAGGGTGGTGCGTGCGGGCGTCTGGTCGGCCTGCAGCCAGAAGGACACCCAGGAGATGGCGACAATCATGATCGAGGGCAGAAAGTAGTCCATGACATAATATCCCACCTCCCGTGTCAGCACCACCGTGAAGCTCAGCGTGCTATAGTTGCCCACGAGGGCGCCATGGGTCATGCTGAAGGCGTCCGAAATCCTTATAGACTCATTGTAGGTCGAGTTAAGCAGATCGTATTCTGTCAGCTGCAGTTGCGTGTCGAAGGAGACGGCGTTCTCGGGCTCCCAGTGAAGTTGAAGCAACGAGGTGTTGTACATCCAGCTCTCCAGCACGGTGGTGCAGCTTTGCTCGTCGAACGGAAAGTTCCGGAAGTTCATCCAGCAGTATAGCGTCGCTTGAATGCGCGCCGAAATGATGACCATGCCATCAGGCGAAATGGTGGTCAGCACATCCTGGTCATTGATGCCCATCACACTCGAGCTCTGCTCGTTGGCCAGGAAGATGTGCGGCAGCCAGAGCACATCCCGCAGCGAGGCCTCCCCCACAATCGCCTGTTTGCGATTGGGCGCGTATTGGGCAAAGGCTAGGCGCGAGTCAAAGTATCGCAGCTGCAGCAGCCCCTGCACACTGAACTGCAAGTCGCTGGAGTCCAGATTCTTCAGCACGTTGATGTAGAAGCGCGCATACACATCCACGGGCCCCTCTTGGCCATCATCTGTGAGGGCCGTGGGCGGATCCAGACTGTCGTACCGACAGCTGTTCGTCAGGCGCGCAATCAGCTGCGAGTGCGTCAGCAAATTCGCATCGTCCAGGCTCGGACAGGTCGAGGAAGTGTCTGTGTCCAAAAAGCTGTATTTGTTGACTGCTAAACAGAGGAATACAAGTATGGTTCAGAAATGTTGATAAAGTCTTTGGGAGAATTTCTTATGATTGCCACCTTTGAGCGTTACAGTCGATTTTTCAGACTTTCAGACTTTCAGAAGAAACTAATTTGCACCTAATATTTACTGCCGCCTTTCAAGTTTGCCATTAATGTAATGTTTATTTCAATTTATTTAAGCAAATAAGAATTTAATTTATTTGATTTATTTATAAATTTTGTTTAGACTTTTATGCAAGAGAGGAAACTAATTTGCACCTAATATTTATTGTCGACTTTCACGTTTGCCATGAATGTAATGTTTATTTCAATTTATTCAATTTATTAAAACCAATAAGAATTTATTTTTTTTGATTTATTTATAAGTTTAAGGATTTTAGTGTTAATGCATTATTTTTAATTATTTTTTTTAAACTTTGTTTTTCTTAAACATTTTTTATATTTTATATTAATTTATTTTTTAAATAATCCATATTTAGATATATTATATATATTATATTTAGATATATTGTAACATTTTGCATACTTTTTTTTATTTAAGTTTAATGATTTTAGTGTTAATACATTATTTTTAACTATTTTTGTGTAACTTTGTTTTTCTTAAACCTTTTTTATTTATTATATTAATTTATTTTTTAAATATTTAGATTAATTTTCATTTAATTTTTAAAAATAATTAATATTTCAAAATTTTGTATATGCTTTTTATTTGATTTTATGTTAAATATATAAATAAATATAATTCTCGTATCTAAATTTATTTATTTATTTATTACAAAAGGGTATATTTTGTATTTTTTTTTAAATTTATTTATTTTTAATTATTTTCTCTCATATTCTCACATATTTAGCTTAAGCATATTTGATTTCTTTGCGGATTTTAATGTTCAAATATTACATAAATTGTTGGGGATTGTCTTTGAAAATCAAAAACTCCTGGTTAACACTCGTAGACTTTTTCAAAAAAAAAAAAAAGTTCTGCTTTATAATAATGGGTTTCGAATTTATTGTTTTTGTTCACAAGGTTAAGAAGCACTTTGAAAGAGTTGTACTTATTTATTATTATTATATCATTGTCGTTTCGCAACACTTTAATTATGAATATGTCAATCCAAAATGTAATATTTTCTGCTTCGGTGGGACTCTAAGGTGGCAATACGGGGTATTACTCACCGGCTCCTGTCACACAGATGCTGCATAGTGCGACAAGTAGTCCAATATTTGCTATTATGTGACTCATTTTACGCGTCGACGATCTCAGGTGACGACGTTACGAGATACCGGTACCGAGATTTTCAGTTTTATGAAACGCGCTGAGTGGTCCGCCCGCTTGGCCTTTGCTTTCTCAACTATTTTGCGACGAATTCGCGGCCGTTCTCGCAGGCCGCCCACTGGGCATTAACTGGTTGTTGTTCTTGTTGTTGCTGTTGTTGTTTTCGCTGTTTCTGCCGTTGTTTAATATCTATTACCAAGTTATTTATTTTAATTGTGACGCGCTAATGCATTCGCCCAAAGCAGAGTGCCACTCAGGGCCGCTCGTTCAGGCAATTTCGCCTTAGCGGGCCTGTCAGTTTTGTCTCTTTTTGGCACGTTTTGAACATGACAACGGCTCCCGTTATCTCGGCCAGATAAATCGGCAAATAAGTCCGCTGTACTAGAACGTACTTATACATGTGTACGTCTGTGTCCGCTCCTCTTAGCTGCTTTTGTTCCACTCAGCGCATAATGCCACTAATTGTTGTTATCACTCCAAATGTTTGTTCATGTCTGAACTTTGATTAAGTGGCCAACGCGACTTTTGTTTAAAAAATATTACACGTCGCCTTCTATGTACGACCGCACCCGTACCCGTACCCGTACTCGTACCCCGTACCCGTACGTGCTGTCCGCTGCAAAAGTTGTGTTGCCACAAAAATGCTCATCACTTATAATCGATGGCAGGTCGGCGAACCGTTTATTTTTGGCAACAACTTCGCGACAGTTTAAAATAATTCGTTCGATTTGCCGATTTGCCGATTTGCGGATTCGTCAGCGGACTTAAGGGGCTCTCAAGTGCTTTATGCGATCATGGGGCATTTGATTAAGCGATACGCATAGCCGGCGAGTGGCTTCAAAATTAAGAATGACTTAATACCACAATAATTTAAATAGCTCCATATCACGAATACTACTTATATGTATATACATATTTGGCTATTTCTAGACAGACAAATAGGCTATTTTTAAGACGCGTTATTAACTTTCTTATCTTGCTCCATTCAGGCGAAAATTGAAATTAGTCAGCTGTTCATTTCCTCAATTTTATTTATTTGTTTAAATTCAAATTAATAATATAACATTGCACTAAAGGGGAATTTTGTCGATAGCTGCGCCCTGATTCAGCGGAGTTATTATCTCTTGGAAAGCTTCTTCGCCAATGGAAAGTTCTTGAAGTATTTGATCAACTTTAATATTTATTTAAGTCCAAAACAAAAAATGTGAATAAGTCTGCTTGAAATGTTATATAGCCATTCAAGAAAATGCCTATCAAAGGATATTTAGAAAAGATTTCTGTAACGATTCAAACTAGCTTACGCATTTTCCTTCTTAAGGTCCCAAGCCTAGGAACATTTATCCACAAAAGGCTATAGAAACGATGAGAAAAATCATTTGCAACTTAAAGGTTCATAGTGCACCGGGAAAGGAAAGTATTACCATAAAGAAATAATAATAATTAATATAACGAAGACAACTCCTTTAATTTGAGCAAGCCGAAAGGCAAATATGTTTTTTAATAATTTATAATTTTTATATATTTTCCTCCCATGTCGGCAGTAAATGTTTGTTGACATAAATAAATAAATAAAATAAAAAATAAGTTTTTCTACTAAATTGAAGTTCTGAGTTACGCTAAAAATTCCAACCTATATAGTAGAAATCCATACAAACAGATTTGATCTGAGAACCATAGATTTCCTCGTTCTTAAAGTTTGAGAGGCGAGGTAAGTATATTTTCATACCCTATATTGTATTGTATAGGGTATATATTTTTAATCAGCATAACGAGAGAAATTGATCTAGACGTGTCCATCTATCTGGATGGATAAACGCCTGTGCTTAGGAGACGGCTGGGTCTATGCTGACCTTATCTCATCTTTTTATTGTACTCCCTTTTCCCGCTACAAATACTGCCTAAAATTCCATAAACTTTGCATTCGTAATTCTCTACTAGTGTTTAATATTTCTTTCAAAAAGAGAAACAATTTTATTCCATCACAATGTAGTTGTTCAATTACTATTAAAATAATTATTCTATTGTTTCGTTTTTGATAAGAAATATCCATGTGTGCACTTCAGTTGGATTATACAATATCTTTGGAATATGCTGCTATTGGGAATAAGAGCCCCTATGTGCAGCTCTTAGCTTCTACAACTCAAAGTCAAATACTAATATAGTGGCTTGGGGCTTAGCTCTTAAAGCCAAGTGTCGATGGCAATTTTGTTGCAATGTGTGAGTTTTTGTTGTTGTTTCAAGTGTAAATAGACAGCACATTTCCTTAAGCTAGTCAGTCGGTCAGCTGGTGAGTGCCTTTCTAAAGTCAGTTTTACAATTTTTTGCTATTTTTGTTTTTTTTTTTTTGTTGTTTGAGCATTGGCTGCATTGCCCTCAGGTTCTGGGCTGCAACTTTCTCCAATTGCGCCTTGAATAGTTCGGTGCTGACCGCGTCCCTTTCACTGTTCTGTATCTCAATTGAGTGCCAGCTCTACATAGATTGAAAACTAAATCAGCTCGGCAGCCCAGTAAGCAGCACACCCATTTACCGTTAGCTGCACCACCTACTTTTACAGAGTACTGGTGGCACGGCACGGCACGGCACAGCGTGCTGCATGTTCATGGCAACAATAAAATTTTATAGCTACACAGACAGACAGACAGACAGACAGACGAGCAGACAGACAGAGAGAACTAGCAGATACAATTTCTGCATCAGTGGCGCAGCATCATCGGTTTTTCCCCGCCGCATGCTGCTCCCAATAAAGCAGTCAAGTTGCAACCTGTGCGCCCCCCTCTCAGTGCCACAGAGTGCCAACATGTGCCACACTCCGACTCTGACTCCGACTCTGACTCCGACTCTGACTCCGACTCTGACTCCGACTCTGCCTCTGACTGTGACAGCGAGAAGAGCGTTTCGGGAAATCCAAATCACTTGTGCAGTTAATTTTCTCGCACGTGCCGTGCAACGAAAGCTGAAATATGTACAAGTACTATATTTTTGAAGCCCAAGTGCTGCGCGAATAGGAATGCAGGATTGGAAAATCAACATTTTGGCACTTATCGCTGGGAGCGGGCCATTAGCGAGCATTGTCCATGCCGGCCAAGTCGGCTTCCACTCAAGCACTCGCCACTCAGCGAGCTGTCTCAGCTAATCAAGGGAAAAAGTTGCAGCAAGTGTTTGTTTTCTTACCACAGTCCACAACAACAAAAGCAACAACACCAGCAAAAGGTATGCAGCAGGCAAGTGTGAAGAGCATTTCACATAATTTCGCGTGAAAAATGTGTATGACGATCGCACACTCGAAGCGGGCCCGTGAAAGCCGTTAACGAACGAGTGAGTGGCGCTGATTAGATATAGCCGTAAAGGTTTAGCGGCCGAAAGCGGCAGATTTAAAGCCGTAGAGTTGTTCAAATAGTACACTGCCTGTGCTTCTAAGATGAGTTACAAGTGCTTACAAGTAAACAAACTTGAATAAAACGCGTGATAGCTCACAAAAATTTAGTCATAATCTCTATGTACGTGCAGATGTCGAATTCAAATCGATAAATTCGTATTATCTTCCACTGCCAAGCTAAAATAATCAATTCTTCACATGAATTGATTGCGCAAATTGTTAATATAAAATATAATATATATTGTTAATAGAAATATCATTTGTGTAGATTATTTCTAAATGACGAAAGTACACCAGAAATCTACCTGTATATACTGAATATAAATTTATATATACCTATTACTTATTTAAACATACTTTGTATGTACATATGCACATAAATATGTATATGCAGACCAGCGTCTTAAATCCTTAATTCTTACTCCATAACAAAATTTTGTATAGGAATTTAATAAAAAATTCTTCTTTAATTCCGCTAGTTTTTTTGTAAAAAATAAAAGTAATCAGAAATCATAATAAGTTTCTAAAAATATTGCCAATTTTTCAAAACACAGAACTTTTTTGTGGATAATGGTAATGGTTTCTCTCTCGTTTCTTATAAAACAAAATAAAGTGAAGCCAAAAATTAAAAAGTTTAAGTGGATTTTAATTACTGAAATATATTGCATGGTCTGATATTTTTTTAAGTTTTAAAAGGCTTGAAAACCATCTAAATTAATTGGTTTTTATACCCTGTACCCAAAAGGGTACAAGGGTATATTAGTTTTGTGCGAGTGCACATGGAACACACAGAAGGAGGCTTGGTAGACCCCACAAAGTATATATATTCTTGATCAGCATAACAAGCCGAGTCGATATAGCCATGCCCGTCTGTCCGTCTGTCCGTCTGTCTGTCCGTCTGTCCGTCTGTCCGTCTGTCTGTCTGTATGAACGCAAGGATCTCCGAAAGTATAAGAGCTAGAATAACCAAACTTGGTATACAGATTCTCCTGAGACCGAGAAAGGACGAGTTTGTTCATTTTTTCTGATCCACCCCCCCACTCCCCCCCTATTAACGATTTTCTATAACTTCCGTAATTCTTGGAATTTTGAACTAAAATTTGGTAGTCACATTAGGTTAGTTATTATATAACCGTATACCAAGTCTCATTATGATAGAATGATCGGAAAGAAAGTTATAGCCATATAACCAGGCCCAATGCACACATACATACATATGTACAAGTACACAAACACGCATAAGGCACGATTCTGATGTAAATGTAAATGTATGTATGCATGCATGGAATATTTTATATTTAATTTAGTTAATTAATTAAATTAATTTAGTTAATTAATTAAATTTAATTAATTAATTAATTTAATTACTTTTTTGTGGGGTGGTACAGGGTATTTAAGAGTTGAGCCTGCTCGACTTTAGCATTCCTTTCTTGTTTCTTTCTTTTTTCTTCAATTGGATGTCAAGGTACGGTTGGAACGGGGAAGATCTACAATTCGATGTTGTGAGGGCTTAGCTTGCGTTAGTCGATATGGTGGACCGAAAGATGAAGGTTAATTTCAGTCAAGATTTGAAAAGAATGCTTCTATATTATTTAAACTTGAGGGCCCTTTGTTGTTCAAAAGGTTCAATTTCTTTATGATTTGTTTTTGCGGCGTGAAGAG